GAGGTGGAGAGCCATGATCGCCTACGTCTTAAAAGGACATGGCACATAAAAAGAAAACAGAATTCCTACTATACATTTTGAGATTCTTGACAAAATTCAAAGAATGGTCTGTAATATAATAGCTCCTGGTCCGGCATCTCATCTTCAGTTACTATCTTATTAACATGACGTGTCTTCCCTCTGTCTTTTCTACAAATATTTTCATCGCAATTCTTTTGATGAGCTCTCTTCCTTGGTACTCATTGGGACTAGTTTTAATTTTTGTTTTACCCCCCGCTCCCAAAGACAATGAATTGTATATATGGAGACTAATTAGGATTTTCATAGAGACAATGAGAAGGGGGCAGATTCTCACTGCTTATTTGTTTCTCATTTGGCTTCAAAATCTGCCCTTTATTTGACCTCAGACTCCGTTGGTCCTGGGTATGATGATAAACTACATCCGATGCCCTCTGATCAGGAGGTTTTGAGAAGCGTGGAATCACCTCTTAATTGCTGATGTTCCTAGGTTCACTCTGGTGTTAGGACCTGTTATGATCCTAGCTATGGACAAATAGTTAACCCCTAGACTTGGGTCACCACACCATGAAAGTATAAAAATAGATTTTTTTATATACTAAAAATACCAGCAATACATTTTTTGAAAGAAAAAAAAAGATATTACCAGCAATACATTTTTGAAGAAAAGAAAATTACTAGCAATAGATTTGACTCTCGACAAAAACCCTCTTTACAAAAATATATCAATGAAACCTGATATGCAAACTGATTTCTTACAAAGAACAGATATTCTAGTCATACGAATCTATCCTAAAAATCTTATCGGCATTAAATGACCCATTTAGGTGTTGACAAAAACAAAGTAAACAGAACAAGGAGGTACGGTAGAGTAATGAACTGAGGAATCGCAGAGCCGAGTTCGAATTCCAGTCGAACGTACGTACTAATACACTTGGGAAAGGTATGAAAACTCTTCTGCTCGACCCAGCTATCGGTAAATAGCAGGAGAGACAGGATTCTATAGCCTTGGCATCTGGTATACCACAGAAAGAAATGGCAACCTACTGCGGGGAAAAAAAGTCTGCCTCGTCAGTCATGTATCGAAAGATATATGATCGCCTAAGCGTGTATCACGCATGGCACATAACTGACTGAAACAGAAGAAAAACAAACTCAGATTCCATCGTGAGAAAGTCTCCTCCATGTTGACTGAAGACAAGTGGAAGTCTTGAGTTGATCCGTGTATCATTTGGATTGACTTATCCAGTTGGTTGATTGTAGCTTATATACCAATTTGATTAACAAATCTATTAAAAATTTGGTAGATACTAAATCATTTCAACTAAATTATTGTTATAATTGCACAAATAAATCTTATATTTTCCAATTAATCGTAGATTATCTATAATATCTGGTCATACTTTCTTAATCGCTACTTTTTTATTCGTCCTTACGGCTCAGAGAGAACAACATTTTCTGAGACGGGATACATGATTTCCCAGACTAGGTTAACTCGTGAATCAATATTTGGATAATCATGATCGATTTTTGCTTATCGAAGAAACTGAGAATTCGCTTGGTTCTACCAAATTTTTCCTAAATCATTATTGATCTCTTTAAGTGATCATGAATTTTGGTATCAAACGATAAAAGTGAGCGTAAATACAGTTACAAATGATGGACTTATATGAGGAGATCGATAACGTGTACATATATGTGGGAATATATAAGGAGATACGTACATTATGGTATAGATGAGGTGTCCGTATATTAGGGGTTGTATGAGAGTATAAGGTGAGGAGAAATAAGAGGGGATCTATAAGATGTAGATATATGAGGGGCTGCACGAGGTGAGCTATAAGATTTATACATACATACATACATATATATATGTGTGTGTGTGTGTGTTTTATATATATATATATATATATATATATATATATATATATATATATATATATATATATATATGCACATTTCATTGAGTACAACACACAAGGTGCTTCTATTTAGTTTTTTATACAATTTCTCATGGGGTCTAATACTTTTTTCTTTTCGGATGACAAATTATATAAAAACTTTCTGACCATAGCTGAATTAGATCTCATTTAAATATTCATGGAGACCTACCGGACACTATTCGTAACATACTTGTTGACAGCACTAATATAATAGCATCATCTACATGCAAAAAAAGGCTAAAAATAATGGAAGCCTTATTAATAAAAAAACAAAAAATAACAACACTTAATAATATTAACTATGAACATGGACACAATATTTTGACCGTTTTTTGAAAGATGAAAACATTTTATAAAACATACATACAACAAACTATTTCTTATTTTAACAGTTAAAATATAATCCTTGAAAATGGCTAAACGTATAGCCGAAAGCGCTCGGATAAAAAGAACATTCGGACAGTTTTTATATAATTTATCATCCGAAAAGAAAAAAATTATTAGATCGCATGAGAAATTGTATAAAAAACTAAATAAAAGCACCTTGTCTGTCGTTTTCAATGAAATGTGCATGAAAGAAGGATTGCTGCCCAAAACACACACACACACACACACACACACACACACACACACACATATATATATATATATATATATATATATATATATATATATATATATATATATGTGAAGGGATATATGAGGAAATCAGTGATGTGTATATATGTGAGGGGATATATGTGTAGATTATAAGGTGATTTATGAGGGGATATATGAGATTACGTATAAGAAGTACATATGTGAGGAGATAAATGAGGGGAACTACAAGTTGTAGACTTATGAGGGACTATATGAGAGTAATAAGATGTAAATATATAAAGGGACATATGAGGAGGTATATATAAGGTGTATATCTGTGAGGGTATATATGAGTGGGTCTATAAGGTGTATATATGTGTGGGTATATATGAAAGGATCTATAAGGTGTATATATGTGAGGGTATATATGAGTGGGTCTATAAGGTGTATATATGTGAGGTTATATATGAGTGGGTCTATAAGGTGTATATATGTGAGGGTATATATGAGTGGATCTATAAGGTGTATATATGTGAGGATATATATGAGTGGATCTATAAGGTGTATATATGTGAGGGTATATATGAAAAGATTTATAATCTGTATATAAGTGGACATATGAGGAGGTTCTATGATGTGTATATATGTCGGAATATATATCGGATTATAGTGATCGGGAAACATCCCTCTGGGAATCGGTCTCACAGACGCTGTTCGAGTGGAACTTACTCCCCCCCCCGATGGAATATGGACAGAATGTGAGTGATTCGCTACAATGTGGGTGTCATGGTGGGTCCTTGCCGTGGAGGTTAGAACTGGCGGTACCAAGGAATGTAGTTCGTCCGAGCACTTTCCATGGAAGTAACGAGCAGTGAGGGGATCTATGAAGAAATATAGTTTTAATGTGCGCTATATTTATGGGATCAAGTGTTCAATATCAGAGATAGAGCGTATGTAAATATAAATATAAAAGTGAACTTTCAAGTCAACACTCAGAGACGACAAGCTGTTTCATGCTCGACGCAATCGTCAGGTGGCCTAACGATTGCGTCTAGCATGAAACAGACTGTCGCCTATGAGTGTTGAATTCAATGTTCACCTTTATATATATATATATATATATATATATATATATATATATATATATATATATATTACAGTGATATTCTACCTGTAGACGACCTAAGAACCACTCGAATTAGAGGGTTGCAGATTACAAAGCAAAGTGATAATCCCATAAAAATCAAGGAGTGACAGGAACTGAAAGAAAAGGAAACGACTTTAATAGGAGCCGGAAAACCAATACTAAACAGGAAACAATGGATAAACCGATACTCCCTTTCAAAAGAACGGGGAGGTGTGTGAACCGGACGATAGGTAAATCTATCTACTCCTATTGAGAAGAAGAAAAACAAAATAAATAAATAGTAAATAAAATTTCAATATTCAATTAGAGACATTAGAAGTATAGTGTTGAATTAGATTTTCGAAGGAACTAGAGAACGCAATCCTAAACAGGAAACAAGGGATAAATCTCTACTTCTGTTCAAAAAAGCGGAGAGGAGTGCGAACCTGGCGATAGGCGAACCTATCTACTCATATTGAAGGAAAAAATAAATAGTAAATAAAACTTCAGAATTTAAGCGGAGACGTTAGTAGTATAGAGTTGATATAGATTTTAGAAGGAACCTGTAACCCAAACCTAAAAAGGAAACAAGAGATAAATCTCCAAAAGACCAGGGAGGAGTGTGAACCGTACGATTAGTAAACGTATCTACTTTTATTAAAGAGAGAGAGACAGAGATTTCGTTTATTCAAGTTAGATTATCCAATGTCTTCTGGGTGATTTTCGACTTTCTCGAGAAATGGGTAATAAAAGTAGGCCGCTCGGTGAGAGTTGAATTCCCAAAAGTTATGATTCGGGGGTCTAACGTGTTGACCCCAGATCCACAGGAACACGGCGAAAATGGGTATTTTTTTATCGGAAAGTGCTCATTCTTTGACGAGCAGAAGTTTGCTGCTTCACACACCGCATAACCCATTATAGAACAAATGAACATCTCCCGACGGAGTCTTTAAGTTGTATCTTTGAAAATGTGTCTTTTGGACCTTTGAGATTTTCAACACCATTCCAGTTCTCGTCGGAGTCCATCGATGTTGGCACCGATCTCTAGGAGAAGCGACCTACTAACAAACAATTACTTTAAAGCTGAGTAGAGAAGTTTCAAAACAGTGAATGATTTAAATATTACCTGGTTATCTCTGAGAAGAAAAGATTTTTTTTAAAATGTGGAAGCGTTTGCGATAAGGGGTATTGTCTGGTAGCAGTGTATGTATATATACGTATGACTGAATGAGATAAAAATAAAAAAAATCAAAGAGGGAGGGTTGGATGAAATAATCACATTGAGAGTAAGCTTTTCTAGCAATGTACTTTTATAACTCTCTAAGATATATTAGCATCTTTCATTCTCTGTATTTTTCAAATCGATTTCTAACAAACTTCAATCCAATCCAATCTCCTTCTTCTTCCCACTTTCCACCCTCACTAGCCTCTTTTCTCTCTCTCTCTCTCTCTCTCTCTTTCCACCTCCCTAATTCCTGTTCTTCTCTCATCACTCAGTTTGTTTCCTTATACAACATATATATATATATATATATATATATATATATATATATATATATTAGTTGGATCCATGTGAGTTTATAAATATATATATATATATATATATATATATATATATATAAAAGAAATATGTTGTAGAGGTTCCAACGAGAGAAAAGTATGTATATTAAAAAGAAGAGAAGATATATATATATATAATGTCACTTTCTATATTCAAATGCAACCGTTACTTCCAATATGCCTAAAAGCTCCAACTTGGCTTTTTATCCTTTGGGAAATAATTGGATGTAGACAGTTGCGGCTTTAAACATCAATTCCTTTAAAAACATTTCCTTATAGATTTCTTTATATACATATATGTTTCTGTTTAATTACATATGCATTTATTCAAATACACATGAACTGCTCAGTTGTTCAATAAGTGCATACATACCTACATATACCTACATAATTTGGCGTGTATATTCGCTTACATAAAGATATCAGATTACTAATATATGTGTGTATTTGTGCAAGAGACACAGTACGTGTGTACGTGTGTGTTTATATATATATATATATATATATATATATATATATATATATATATTCGACCAACATATACATGTCAGTATATGAAATTATGCAAATGAATTTTTTACAAATATAGGTTTATTCTAGATTCATATATTCAAATACAAAAACTTTATATTTCTCCTGCGTGAAATATAGAGATACATTCGTTTATATATATATATATATATATATATATATATATATATGTGGGGGGGGGGTAAAAACATGTAAAGATGTCATATCGCACTTACATTTCGTCAACCGAGTTAGATTTTTCAGAGACATATGGCCCAGTGGATAAAAGCGTTGGCTGAATCCAATGACTTGACACAACTTCGAGAGTTGAGTTAAAGGGAGATAAGTAATATTTAGACATCCAGACGAGGCACAGCACGTGGAACTAAAACAATCTACTCTGGTGGATGAAATAAAGGGTCCAGTTCGAAATCCCAATCATCTGAAGAAGGCCGGAACGTACATCGGCCGAAACATAGTGAATATGGCAACAAGGGTGAATACAACAGTCCGAACAATGTAAATAGTTTAATATATATATATATATATATATATATATATATAGAGAGAGAGAGAGAGAAAGAAAAAAAAAGAAAGAAAGAAAGAGAGGAAGAGAGGGAGAGAGGGAGAGAAAGAAATAGATGATTAAAGAAAGTTGTGACCGAAAAAATAAATTTAAAAAAAAAATATATTGTGCTTCAACGTAAAAACTAAATTCAATTTCTTTTTACGAACCCATCCTTTGTAGATTTGTTTTGGTAATTTCAGATTGTCCTGTCCTGTTGGAGGCCCCATCCCTAACCTAAATCCAACTTTTGAACAGAAATTCCTTGGTATCTTGCAGTGTCCATTGTGCCGTCAATGCGGACTATTTTGCCTGTTCCAGATGCTGCAAAGCCGTCTCGGCCATTTTAATGGTTGACATCAAATTCTTCTCTTCAAAAGCTGTATTAGGAGCTCACCCGATATCCCACTTATTATTTGATCCTACGAAAATGCTCTAATTCCTTCTCATCCGACCATAAAACCTTTTGGCCAGAATGTTTCTAGCTTATTAGTATGAGCTTTGGCATAGATAAGGAGAGCATGCTTGTGCTATTTGGCACGCAGTGGGTTTTTTTCTAGGCATTCTGCCATGAAGATCGGCATTATTCGGATTTCATCATACTGTAGATGTATGCCCATCGATTCTGAAATTGGCCAGTGAGCATCGCAGAACCGCAAAGTTCACATCAGGATTTGCCTGCACTATTTACATTATTCAGACTATTGTCCTCATCTTTGTCGCCATATTTATTACAACGTTTCGGCCTTACAGTATCTATTTCTGAGATGAGGTATTATGTACATTATTTACATTATTCAGACTATTGTCATCATCTTTGTCGCCATATTTATTACGTTTCGGCCTTACAGTATCTATTTCTGAGATGAGGTATTATGTACATTATTTACATTATTCAGACTATTGTCTTCATCTTTATCGCCATATTTATTACAACGTTTCGGCCTTTCAGTATCTGTCTATATTTCTGAGATGAGGTATTATGTACATTATTTTCATTATTCAGACTATTGTCCTCATCTTTGTCGCCATATTTATTACAACGTTTCGGCCTTCCAGTATCTGTCTATTTCTGAGATGAAGTATTATGTACATTATTTACATTATTCGGACTATTGTCCTCATCTTTGTCGCGTTTCGGCCGTTGTACGCTCCGGCCTTCTTCAAGTTTTTTTTTTAACAACTTTGAGAGGATCCTG